TGAAAATAAACAAACATTTTAAAGGAAGACATAGCAGTATACATAGATTATAATAAGTGCCAGTTGATTTTGCTATTTTTTTGTCCAATTTATATCTACTCCCAACCACTTGTGGAGGGACTTTTGTATGGAACACTATCATCAATCCCTCAGACAAAAACAGTGGAACTACTGCGGCTTCACCAGCTGTGACCAAGTGGGTGGTTGTTCCAAGAATAGCACCCAGACTGGGAGCCATGAATGAAGAGGCACCAAACACATTTCACAAAATGAAAGGAAAGACAATGTAGGCAGGAGAGTTGCAGTCAAGGAAAGGCTATTAGCTCTAATTCAAAACCACCATGGTCATATATAAAATGCAAAGGCACAGTACAAACCTGTCAGAACACAACATTCTCTTAGGATATTTCACTGCGTTCCTGATTGCTGGCTGGAACCTTCTAACACTTGCCACAGCCTTGTCTTCATGTTCACCTGGTCAGCCCTTGCACCTGCTCAATCCTGGTAAACATCTAGCAGGAAGATACACTAAAAACACTCGCATGCTCTCTCGCTCAACTCACAGGGCCTGCCAGTCAGTGTGGGCTCTGCTTCTTCCTCTCAAATCTCCAGTTTGAGGAGAGGGCAGGCCAGCCTCGGAGTAGGCTGTTGCCTGGATTCTATTTACACAGATGAGGCAAACGGCCCTCTTCTCGAAATCTCTGCTTGAAGGCACAGATCCTGCTGTTCAGCTGTCCCTCCCTACTCACTCTGCAATGCTCCTGGGAAGAGAAAACCTATTTTGAAATTTAATAGTGAATTGTACAAAAAGACTCCAGAATGAGCGAAAATATTTTTTTCATGTACAAAACATCCTAAATACTCTTCCTAAAAATGTTATAGATTATTCTCTACAATGATATTATTGAATGCAAGTCTGGAAAGCAATTTAAAATATATCTATGTGATAAGGTAAACATCACATAGTGAAATGAAGGGCACTGAAAACCAAAGGCTTGGTAGAATACAGCTATTTATAGTGGGAGGGAAAAGGCACATGAAATAAAGTAAAAAAAGCAAATAATTTTTTTCAGTCCCACTTGTCACTTTTTTCCAACTATCTAGCACTGGAAACTGATTCTTATATTGGAATTTTCCAGGGCTGGCACTGTGGCCTAGCAGGTTAAGCTGCTGCCTGCCATGCTGGCATCCCATGTAACTGTTGGTTCGAGTCCCAGCTGCTCCTCTTCTGATCCAGTTCCCTGCTAATGAACCTGAGAAGGCAAAGGAAGATAGTCAAAGTGCTTGGGCCCCTGCACCGACGTGGGAGACCTAGAAGAAACTTCTGGCTCCTGCCTTTGTCCTGGCTCAGCCCCAGCTGTTGTGATCATTTGGGGAGTAAACCAGTAGGTGGATCTCTCTCTCTCTCTTCTTCTGTGTAACTCTGTCAAATAAATAAATCTTTCAAAAAAGAAAAAAAGAATGTTCTGCCTTATGATTCCTCCCCATAGAAGCGAAACAGTTACTTTCTTGGTCTGTTTTGAATTTTAATTATTTATTATTTTCATTTATTTATTCATGTATTTATTAATTTATTTCATTGCAGAGCAAGAGAGAGACACACACACACACACTCTGATAGATCTCCCATCTGCTGATTTTCTCGCAAATGTCCCTAACAGCTGGGGCTGGGTCAGGCTGCAGCTGAGAACTCAATCTCAATCTCCCATGAGGGAGGCTACACCTGCTGCCTCCCAGGATGCATATTAGCAAGAAGCTAGAATCAGCAGTGGAGCAAGAACCCAAAGCCAAGCACTCTGAAATGGCCTAAGGGCACTCCAAGCAGCACCTTAACTGCTGTGCCCAGTGCCCACTCCCTTGCCTGGTCTTCTCTGTAGCAAGTGAGAAGGCGGGGGCACTAAGCTTGGCTGATCACAGGCGTCTGCTCTGGGCTTCCAGTTGGAAATGAGCAATTCAAAGCAGGTCCGGGAGGCGCACACAAGCTGCCAGGCATGAGGGCATGGCGATGTCCGGCATCAGCATGGCAAAGCACTGGCTGCAGCATCAGGCTCTCACCCGCAGAAGCATTACCTGCTGCACCCGGGCTCTGTGCACAGGGCTTGTCTGTGATGCTGTCTGCTCAGAGCTGGTCCCCAGCCATGCTGAACCATGTAGCAAGGTAGTTAATATTTCTGTGAACCAGTCCATAAATGCGCTTGCTGTCTAAATTGGCAAAGGGGCTTCATTTGCTGGAAAGAATTCTTTTGGAGGCATCTACTGCCATGCAGCTGTGTCTCACATGGAGCGGGGGCGGGGGTGGGGTCGGGGGTCCCCATTTTTGCCACAGGTGAAAAGAATTGCACCCCATCTGGGTTTTCTAGTTATTGTGCTCTTTTAAAGGCCTCCCTCAAACCAAAAAGTCTTTTCCTGCTTCAGAGATACTAGGTGATGCTTTCTAAGTCTCAATAACATGTTTGAGCACAGTTAATTTCCTCCCCAGTGTCCACATGAATTAAACAGACCCTCTATTAAAAGATAACGCTCAAGATACAAAATAAAAACCCAACTATCATCCTACCCTGGACAACGGTCTCCAAACAGAGTTAGGTTATCAGAGCAAGGTTCCCGACAACGGTTGCTCATTAGATTACTCCAAGTGGTTTTACAGGCTGCTCAGTCTCATTTGCCAAATTGATTCTTTCCCAAGTTTCTCTGGCGCTTGAGTTCCCAGACATTTAGCCCTCCTGTTAGTAATCTCAGCAGGAGCCAGCACATGAATGAGCAGGGAGCCCCCTGGTCCCCCTGCAGTGGCTGAGCAGAGCAGTGAGCAGGCCCAGTGTCTTAGAATCACCAATGAGATAGGCTCAGTGCTGGATAATAAATGCTTGAATTGTAGATCATGGGGCCTTTGCTTTCCCACACTTCTGCCCTGGCACTGATTTAAAGAACTGGAGTTACTTTAAAAAGGTGGATTTCCCTCTGCCCCATTTCCTGTTTTTAGATTCCTGAAGCTTCAGGCTGCTCTATATGCAAGGGAATGGTTAAAGCATTTACCTTCACCAATAAATGTGACGGGTAATTTTGCTCCTGAAAAATTTGACTTTGGAGTTTCTGCTTTTATCAGCTGATGTAGTATTTCCTTTTTAAGTAAAGATACAGGAGTAAAAACTCAAACTGTCACTCTTCTCTCATGCTATAATCTAGTGGAATAGAATGTTCTTTAAGGACAACCATAGCACTTCCTGCCAGAGCTACCCTTTACTGAGGCTATACTGTCAATGGGTTTGCCCATAAAGGACTCCTGTGTTCCTGTTAAACATGGCAGGCAGATCCATTGGCTCAATTTATATTAGCCTCTCAGGGCCCATAGGACAGAAACAATTTCCTTTCACTCCCAGCCAGGTTGGAAATGACCCAGTCATTCAGAAACAAACAGGATGTAAGTTGATTAAAAAAAAAAAAAAAAGCTAGATAATAAAATCTTTGATTCAACTAGAAATGAGCTGTATTTTCCCTTACAAGGAAAATAAAATGCAGGAGTAAAGTACAATTTAGGAAAGTATTTTTTATATGTTATGTAAAAATAAAATATTTTCTTGATTTTTGATAATGCAGCATAAAATCCAGCAGAAATAATTTATCATGAAGTAGCTCATTTGACTCATTAAGAAGCTAATGGAAATGCTATCCCATGCGAGAAATACAAATGAGCTTTCATGACATCAGCTGAAATACACTGGCTGTTGCTAATGTGTTTTGTGAGGAGTTCTGAAAATTTCCAGAGAGCTCAGTGGTTGCAGGATTGTGTAGATGGTTTGCTAAGTCTAAAATCAAACTGTTTGATTTGACCTCATACCTGTGGAAGGCCTTCCATGATTCTTGACTCTTTTTCTCAATGTTTTAGTTCTTTTGCTTGTTTTTTTTTTTTACTATGTAACGTACTGAGGAAAATGTTTGCTTTTTCTTTAATACACTGGGACACTGACATTCATATGTGGAGACATTCATTACACAGAGATATAATTATAAGAAAAACACACACTTTAAATGACAATATCATAAACATTTATGGTAGGCTCCATTCAGGTTAATAGTCAAGCAAGTGTTAAATACGAGAGATTAAAGAGTTCTCAGAAAATGTTAAACAGAAAAATATTTTTAATTTGTGCTTCAATCATGGTGAGTGTCACTTTTAATCACACCAGAACGTTTTAACTTCTCCTGATGCCCTCACTCACTCGCTTGTAAAAGGAATGGATTATTGCTGCAGCACAGTGGAAGGACACAATTTACATCTCTCTCTCCCCTGGCCGCTGATGGCGATCAGTCATGATCAAACGTAGGACTCTTAGGAAGCATGGACTCAAGTGCAAGAAATATGTGCATGCTGGCGTTAGGAGGAGAGGAATGAGGTTGGTTTACATGAAACACATGTGAGCAGGAGGCTGGAGGCCTGCAGCCGACAGGGCCATCACGGCCGGAGGCGAGTCTGATGCTGCCCAGAGCTGCAGGATGACACACTGTGCGTCTGCAAACTTTCATCCTGTTCTCTGTGTGCAGCTTTCGCTCTCCAAGGAAACTATAAAAGGAGTTCCAATTGCAGAGCAGTATTTTAGACAGAAGCTGGGTAAAATCAGTTGGGTATAGCCCCAAGTGATCAGAAACTTGGCTCTCCACTCTTGCTGGGCCAGCTGGAAGATGAGAACGGCTTCAGAAAGGTAAGTCTCCCTTTCCCACCTGGTTAGAAACTCCATATTCTAAACCACGTAGCAAAGCAATTATCGTGAGAAACTTCAATTCTTTATCACACTTCTTTATGATTTCGTGTCATTGCAAGGTGTATTTTAAAACACTTTATGCTGCACTTTTAAAGGGATACCACGACCTGTCAGCATTTTATACTTCTAAGTTCTTAACTCAGCCCTTCCAAAAAACAAAGTATTTAAGAACAAAAAACAAGTTCAGGGATTTTTTTTTCCATCCTCCACTTTCATGGGGAAAATGACAGAAAGCCTCAGTACCTTCTTCTGTCTGCTCTCGGCGGCAGCCAGCTGTGTGGACATCCGTTCCTGCATTTTCCTGCAGTGGGCCATGACTGCTTCGAGGATGGACAGGGGGTTGGTGCAAACAGGCTTCTTCTCTTTGTCACTGGCACCTGCTTCATAGTCTCTTTGGAGTGCCAAGAACGGGTCGTTTAGATTAAATCTCCCATACCGTTCCTGGATAAACACCTCCTTCCTGCGAGCCTAGAACAAAAGTAGAGCAATGTATTAAAGAAAGAATTGAGACATATAGAAAGACAGCTAAAATGTTTTGCAGTTATTTTTCAAAATAGTGTTCACAAATGCTGTGAGTAATGGCTTGTGATATCAGCAGGCGAGCAAAGATGTGCCCGAATCCTGAGTACCCTGGCATACCATGCAGTGGGCTGTCAAATTTTCCTAAGAGCATTGCCTTTTACATAACAAAGGATGGAAACAGGGCTTCTCCCCATGCTGCTCTACTGTCTCAAGTGTCTGAAATTTGGAATCAGTCTTAAATTTTTGGTGAATTTAAAGTAAAATGAAAAATACTGACATGAAAATAACTTCTAGCAAAAGTTCAGAAAATACAAGTTTTTAGAGCAAAGTAATATGTGTTAAACAAAATACTTCATGAAAATTTTAAAGTCACAATATTCACATTTTGTAAGGTTTGATCAGCTACAAAAGCTAGGGGGCCCGCACTGTGGTGTAGCAGGTAAAGCCGCTGTGTGCAGCACCAGCATCCCATACGGGCACTGATTCAAGTCCTGGATATTCCACTTCTGATCCAGCTTCTACTAATGTGCCTGGGAAAGCAGCAGAAGATGGCCCAAGTGCTTGGGCCCCTGCACACATGTGGGAGACTTGGAACAAACTCCTGCTTTGGCTTGGCCCAGCCCTGGCTGTTACAGCTACTTGGGGAGTGAACCAGCTGATGGAAGATTGATCAGTCGCTCGCTTGCTCTCTGCCTTTCTAGAACTCTGTCTTTCAAATAAATAATCTCAAAAAAAATACAAAAGTCTCCAGAAATGCAATTATCTCCTCATATTGAAGGACATTAAAACATAGTTCACAGAATCCCAAGAAAGAAAGTAACCTTGTTTTACTCTAATTATAAATCCATCAGTGAAAAATTAATTCCACCCATGTAATGAGCAAAGTCAAATTTCCTATAATTAGGCTACAACGGTGTTTGCATAACATGGAAAATAGTAGGAAAAATGTATTGAAATCTACCAACATTTCAGGTCATCTTGGAATAGCCACTAGGAAAAAAACAATCTATGCCACTGCCAGTAGAAAACTGAATTCAATAAATCAAGCTCAGCTGTCCAAAATGTTAAACATGTTTTCTAAGGAAATATTACATGCAGCTCCTCGCTTTCAGGCCACTGCACTGAACAACTAAACTTTTCCATCCTTAGACCATTGTCAGTAATCCAACAGTGCTACGACGAATGGGGAAAAAAAAATTCTGCCTATTACCAAATTAGATGAAGAAATAAAAGTTATAACAAGACCAGTTTCATCATTAAATGTAAGCTAGCTTTCAGAAAACCATTCGAAATTTAACAGGCAAAGTTTGAGAGTTCAAAACACTTGACGTTTCTAGATTCCTCAAATTCAATTATGTAATCAATACGCTGAAGAAATATCTCTTGAGAGATGCAATTTCAATTCCATTTTATACTTCACTTTCCCCTCCATATTTATTCAGTGTAGCTTTCCCCCAACCCTGGATAAAAACCTGGTGGCTGTATGGTTTTTCTAATCAGTTGTACGTCATAAAGTTCTATAGACTCTTCAGGCTACACAAGAGTCTTGATTTGGTTATTAGAAGAGCCATCTTCAGTCAGTGGTTTTGCAAATTCCCTTCTACAGCTTGCCTTTGTGCTGTAGGCAGACATCAACCACCTTGGAAGGGGATAAGGAGTATAACTGATGGCCTTTTTTTTTTTTTTTCCTTTTAATTCAAGAGACAGGCAGACAGGTCTCCCATCCACTGATTCACTCCCCAAATGCCCCCAACAATCAGGACTGGGCCAGCCTGAAGCCAGGAGTCAGAAGGCAGGGAGGCAGGGACCCATGCAGTTGGACCATCACCTTCTGTCTCCTAGGGTCTGCATTGGTAAGAAGCTGGAACTGGGAGCACAACCCAGTTTGGAACACAAGCAGTCCTTTATTGTACATAGCATCTTAAACAGGGTCCTGTGAGACCAAATGCTCACCCTAACAACCTCTTTCTTCATCAAAACTTCCTCCTCTTTCTAAGCCATTTTAGTCTTCTCAGGATTTGAAGGGGGTGAAGGGGCTGCAGGTGCATGAGGAGGAATAAATGTAATGTTTATTACTTTATTTTGTTGCAAAAAAATTGAGACCCAAATTTTTCATAATACAGATTTTCCATAAAGTTTTAGAACATCCTTTGTATATACTATTACCATAAAATATATTCACTTATGGTATCATTCTTACCAGAGAGAAAAAAATCATTTTTTCTTATGAATGTATTCTATCTTAAGTAGAGGAGTATTCCAGATAGAGGAAGAGAGAATGTAGTAGATCCTATTACCCATCTGGGAACTCCTGGGAATCTTAAGATCCCATTACTAGGATGCAGGGCAGTTGGTGACACAGTCAAACTCCCGTGGGAGCCATGCAGCTGATGTGGCATGTTCTCAGTGGGTGAGGAATAGCAGACTTTGGGTGACCTAGAGATGATACATTCTAACAAAAGGCACTCATGTGTTTTTTTTTCTTTAATTATAATACTTTTCCAGTCAAACAAAATAGAGTTTTAGGTCTGGTTTGGTCAGTAAGACACCCAGTTTGTAATTTTCACCTTTCAGGAGGAACCAAGTTACTCTGAGCCCCGTTGAGCTATGGATCCCCCAAATATTCTGCTTTGAGCATCTTTCAAATAGGGAGACTTTAAATAGTGCCATCCTTCCTACCCACAACAGAATACACAATGGATGCACAGTGCATCCTTATTGTATAAAGATAGTCTGTTGGACTCAGGAAAATGGAATTATGCAGCCCAGAGTCTCCACAGTGAAAGAGCTTAAACTATGTTTGTGTTGTGTCAGGAGTGTGGGTAAGACATTAGGCCAATGTCAGAATCCGCTTTGCAGGGCTAATTCTTGTGAAAATGATGGCTAAGGATGAGTTTACCCTCTGTGCATGACATAACCAGGGGGTTCTATGAAGGACTCAACTCTCTAAACTCAAGACAGATGACAACAACTTCAGGAGGACCACGACAGGTAAGAGGTAGTTTTTCAAGATTCATCATCCTTTATAGCAATAATTGTTCTCTGCACCCCAATATGGATTGTATAAAGACATGTCAGAAGAGCCTTTCGAAAACCTTGCTCAAAGCCTTTTTTTTTTTTTTTTTTTTGACAGGCAGAGTGGAAAGTGAGAGAGAGAGACAGAGAGAAAGGTCTTCCTTTTGCCGTTGGCTCACCCTCCAATGGCCGCCGCGGCCGGCGCACCGCGCTGATCCGATGGCAGGAGCCAGGTGCTTCTCCTGGTCTCCCATGGGGTGCAGGGCCCAAGCACTTGGGCCATCCTCCACTGCACTCCCTGGCCACAGCAGAGAGCTGGCCTGGAAGAGGGGCAACCGGGACAGAATCCGGCGCCCCGACCGGGACTAGAACCCGCTGTGCTGGCGCCGCAAGGTGGAGGATTAGCCTATTGAGCCGCGGCGCCGGCCTCAAAGCCTTTTCACCACTCCTACGCTCACAGCAAGCACCCTACCTTCCATGGCTTCATCCATGGTATGCTGGCAGCTTGGGACAGCTTCCTTTTCTTCAACAACTCACTCAAGGTCACCTCCTCTTATTCTGTCCATCCTCAAAATTCCCGAGTTTAATCTGGATTCAGGAAAGCACGTATAGTGGAACATATGTCCATGCCATTTGAAATCCCTAACTCCACCTAATTTTCAACAAAGATGACATCTATTTCTTTTAATATTCTTATAAAAAAGTTACTTTCCTTGTGATCATCTTACTTTGTGACTAGGAACTTATTTTTAATGCATTTGTTTTTAAAGAAGAACAAATCAGCCATATAGATGTGATAAAAAGTATGATTTGAAATGTTTATCATACAGGGTTTAGGGGGACTCTTTCTCTGAAAAAGGAATCACTTTATGTACAATCAGTCTTGTGGTTTAACTATCACAATCACCTGAGATTGAAACACATTTCAGGGAAATGAGTCATTATGAAGACACAAGACATTCTGTAATTATAAACCCAGACTCTTAAAGGGACTGTTAAGCCCAGCTACAATGCCTAAATGAATAAAAATATAATTTCATTAAAACTTGAACTTTTGTAACATTCTGTTGAAAAAGTCACAAGCTAGAAGTCAAAAATGTATTCATCATTACTAGTGGATTTAACATATACAGAAAACCTACTTTGGCTTTCGTTCAATATAATCAACAACTAGTCTGGACATGACTGGTAAGAATAAAAGGAAGGATATAGTTTATAATCCTAGAAAAAGAAACTAAAATGTACATTATATAATTAAAACATTATAAAATGATATTGCCTATCAATTTTAAATCATACTGACAAGCTTATAGTCAAAATAATTTTATCTTATGGAAAGCTAGAATGATTCTGTAATAATTCTTTAAAATACTAACAAATGTTAACTTTTACTGAGGTCCTATTATTTATTTTTTCAATGCTTTATATTCATTTTGTTCTAACAAGCAGCCCAGGGGATAGCCATGACATATACCATTCATATATATATAAAGTTTATATATAATTTTCTTTTTATTTTAAAAGCACAGAGGCAGAAAGAGAGAGAGAGACAAAAAGTTATCTTCTATTCATTAGTTTATTCTCTGAATGCCCACAGAGTTAGAGCTGGGCCAGGTGGAACCTGGAATTCAACCTGGGTCTCCCACTTGGGTGGCAGAGATCCAAATATTTGAGCTATCAGCTGGAACCTCCTGTTGCACACATAAGCAGGAAGCTGCAATTGGGAGTGGATCCTAGACTTGAACCTTGGCACTCAGATTGAAATGAAAGCATCCTAAGAAACCTTTTAACCACTGTGCCAAATACTTACCCTTCAAGCCTATATTTTTAAGCATGAAGGGATAACTATGGCATTTTAGAAGACTAGAAGAAGCTTCAAAATTAATTAATGTCTGTAACACTATGAAAACAGGTACAAAGAAGTGAGGTTT